CTCAAAATCAGCTGATTGCGCTGAGATATTAAATCGCTGTGTTGTTGTCAGGGTACTTAGTTTCTATTCGCTTAAAGGCCATGCAAAAAATGAAACGTAAAAAATATACGTGAACAAAGGGGCATTTATTTTGTACATCTGGGAAAGTTTCACAATGTCAGGTGGTCTGCATGGAGGCATAAAACACTGCTAAACATTTGGAGGTTTTTTTTTTACCAGCTATTCACGTACAGGTTTTCACAACTGATGCTATGGATTTGCAATAAAATGGTTCAGTGCATTGTCATTGTCCAACTACTCATGGGAATAATTGGACAATTTATAGTTTACTGGAAAGTGACAGCAAGTACAGGAAAAGAAACAGCTGCACATGCTGGCAGGGGTAGTACAGTCGATATTTCGAGAGCTATAACTGCTGACTTTGAAACACGATTTCAATCTGTAGATTAATGCAATAAGTTCTGGCGTTTGATCTTTAAACCGAGCCTAAAGACGAACGAGAGACATCCACACTTTTGGCGAGCAAGCGCTTCGTGATATTATTCGGAAATATGAAGTCAGTGTCAGTTGATACAGATAGCCTGTTTTGAGAGAATGGGTGCGTTTATAGGATGCAGGAACATGTCTAGTCAATATTGTGATTAAACAGCAATCCTGACTTTGACTTAAACATTCATACACTAGCGATAGGTTTTTACCCTTTTATCTGGCACAAAAACTGACAACCTTTATCCAAGGGATCATGTTTGCAAAAACCACAACACAAGTAGTCAAAATGCAAACATTGCATTTTGACTAACTTGTGTAGTCAAAAAAACCTATTACTATATCTTGTTACTGGCAAAGGAGGTCTCATAACATCATACACTATTGCTGTTGTCTCTTACACTGCTATTAAGCAATACTTCTTGTAAGTGAGATTTTCCACGTCAATATTAATATAAATACAAAAGACAAATCCTGCCTATCAGCCTCGTGCCTTTCTGCCCTTAGGGGCCGTCCATAAATGACGTCACGCACCTAGGGGGAGGGTCAGAAATTTGTGACGATGTGTGACGAGGGGGGGGGGGGAGTTTGAGAAATGTGACGTCACGTCGAAATGCGCAACTTTAAATAAATATAGACATGTTCTACTTAGTTAAATAGACTTTTAAATAAATGTTTTCTCCTACAACATCAGAGTGCAGCGCCACATTAAATACGCACTACAATGACAATAGTTTAAAGCGATTTGAAGCATATTTTATTTTTGGGGGGGGGCAGAGCTTTGTGACGTCATATTTGAGGGGGGGTCTGACTTTTTGTAACGCCGTGTGACGACGGGGGGGGGGGATCAAAGATCGTCAAAAATCGCGTGACGTCATTTATGGACGGCCCCTTATGCATATTCACACGTGCAAGATGACCACTGACACCTTTTGAACCCAATACCGCAATTGAACCATGGATGCAGTCAGCACACGGCAGGCTCAATCAGAGCTCCAAGCAGGAATACCAGAGCACATCAAAGCACGTCATCTCAATTGTTTGAACTGACAGAGGAGGAGGAGGTGGAGCGAGACAGCGAATGTATGAAGATGTCTTTTGGTACCAACCCACTTCTTCTGGCACTCATGTGAGAACCTCATGAAAAATAAACCCCTGTATACAATATATCGAGGAAGGCCGCTTTCCTATCTTACAGTTACATGCTAATTTCTCACATTTGCATCACTAGCCACGGCCATTTCTTTATGACTCTTGGGCTACACCCATTTCAAACATTTTTAAACAGTCTGCCTCAGCAGCAGACCATCACTTTCCCACCTGGTGACGGGACGCTTGTGTTGCGCCTGAAACGTCGTGATTTATTTGATTTATACCTACGTGGCTTTACCGAAATAACCAAAGAGCATAATGTATCAATGGTTTAATTATTTGAATTATGCCGGAATGTCCTCCCACAATCGGGAATGCTCTTCTCCTGATTGCCTTTGAGAGGCTTTACTGTGTTATGAATGCTTCTGTCAAACAGCAGCTATTGGGCTTTGCCTCCACAACTTCGCTCCTGTGCATATTGATGGTGACATTGCTTATACGGCATGGATTGATTCAGTTTCGTGAGGTAAGAGGCCTGACGGTTGAGGCTATGCACGCCTGTAATTCACCACTGCAGAGGGGGGTGGTGGATCACGTCCGTGTTGTGCAACTCCCTGCCCGTGGGAGTCGAGTTATACCTGTCCCATTTGCCGCCTCTGTGTCCTCCGGTTTCCCCCCATAATGTGCACACTCATGAATTGGCCGATACCACCTTCATATGTAGACGACCGCAAAGCTTGGGCAATTGTTGGTAGCGCTGGCTCGCTGAGCGGCTGCTACCACTCCCTCTTGTATGTATGTATGACGAACTTATTTCGCACCGTAAGTAGCCAACCGCACTAATCGGAGGTGCGGGGGAAGGACGGCAAAATAAACACAAAAATAATTTCTCAAGAAGATAATTTCTCAAGAAATTAGCTTTCAATCTAGGTTATTTAAAAGCGCATTGCTCCAGTGGCTTCCGCACATCGGAAGGAAGAGCGTTCTAGAGGGCCGCAGAAGCGCATGTGATGATAATTATTGACAAGCACGTAACGCATGATTCCAATGAAGTATCCTGTCAGTTTAACACGCAGGCTTTCGCGATCAACATTTTCCATAGATCGCGTAAATAGAAATGCGTCGTTTAGTCCGCCACAGCCAATTAGTAAGGTTTGTCACGTAAACAAAACGTGCCAATTCGTTACTAGTTACTACTTCAGCACACCGGTGCGTTGGAGGGTAAACTCACAACAATTTAGAATTGGCGTACGGCGTATCGCTGGCGATTACAACCCAGCTTCATCAGGCGACGTATCGAGAAGTGTATCAACTGCGACCTCAGGGGGCATCCATTGAGTAGGTCCGCAAAAATCTGTCAAAACTTGACCCCTACCCTATACGCGCGCGGACTTTTTACACTCCCCCCCCCACCTGAGTACGGGCTATCTAACTCATTTGAAGGCCAATGTAGAAAAAATATTATCGAGGCTTCACCCCCCCCCCCCCCCCCCATTTCATATCCGTACGCACATTGTAGTAGACCCCCCCATACGCAAGTGTACGCGTTTGGGTTAAGGGGCCGTCCATAAATGACGTCACGCGATTTTGGAAGATTTTTTACACCCCCCCCCCCTTCGTCACACGGCGTCACAAAAAGTCAGACCCCCCCCTCAAATATGACGTCACAAAGCTCTGCCCCCCCAAAAAAAAATATATATAAAACATGCTTCAAATCTCGATTTAAAGCTTTGACAAGGCGCTCTGTTCCTCCCACACAGCTTAAAGACGCTGTCCATGCTTGGCAGTGTTCACTCAAGCACTGTCTTCCGGACAGTCCTGTTTCTTCACCTGAGGAAGGCTACTTGTGTTGTGGCCGAAACGTGGCGATAATTGTATTCTGTTATTATTATTTTTATTATTTTATTCCCATTCTACGTGACTTTACCGAAAGAACACAGAAGATGGTTCAAATCGCTTTAAACTATTGCCATTGTAGCGCGTGTTTAATGTGGCGCTGCACTCTGATGTTGTAGGACAAAACATTGATTAAAAAGTATATTTAATTAAGTAGAACGTGTTGTCTATATTTATTTAAAGTTTCCCATGTTGATGTGACGTCACATTTCTCACCCCCCCCCCCCTCGTCACACATCGTCACAAATTCTAGATTTGAAGCTTTCGTGACTGCAAGGATCCATACTCTTTGGTTCTATTCGGTAAAGTCACGTAGGTAAAAAATAAAATAACACAAAATCACGACGTTTCGGCCACAACACAAGTGGCCTTCATCAGGTGAAGGGACTGGACTGTCCAGAGAAGGGACTGGACTGTCCAGAGGACAGTCCAGCCCCTTCTCCTGATGAAGGCCACTTGTGTTGTGGCCGAAACGTCGTGATTTTTTGTTATTTTATTTTTTACCTACGTGACTTTACCGAATAGAACCAAAGAGTATCGTCACAAATGTCTGACCCCACCCCACCCCCCCAGGTGCGTGACGTCATTAATGGACGGCCCCTAACCCCTCCCCCTCTAACCCCTCAATGCGTAGGTACTGAGTGGATGTCCGCTCACCAACATCACCAAACAAACAGCTCCCCACCACCACGGCCCGTCACCGCCGTTGGCGAGCAGTCGGTCCCATTTAGTTCCATTTATTTATTTTGGTATAGCCCCGTGAGCCATTCGGCTCTTGAATCGGGTGCAAGCGCAACAAACAAACACACAATAAAAAACTCGAACAAGAAAAAAAACATCTTAAAGTGACTTTGTGTTGACTGTGCAAAACAGAAAATCCATTGGGGGGAAAAAAAACCCAGCAAAAATATTCCTGAAACAAAACACCTTACACCAACAACCGCTGTGTGCAAAACAAAATCCCAGTGGGATGCAAGTCAAACAACAACAACAACAACCACAAGACAACTAAGATTAAGGCCATCAGTTTAAATCCGTACTACAATAAACAAAAACATGTCCAAACCCAAAAACGTTTTGAAAAGTCACAAAAATAAAAGCCATCAATGCAATGTAACAGTGATCATAGTCAGAATCATCGCCCCCTACCGGCAGGCCGACAACGATGGCCCGACCGAGGGGTCAAGTAAAACAACAACAAAAACAACCTCTGATAATTGTGTTTTTTTTCACTCTTTTATCTGGCAACAAAACTGACACCTTTTTTGGTTTACAAGTAGTACATGTTTGTAGGAGAAAACATTTTTGTTTTAAACGTAACTCTATTAATGCGCGCATACATTCATCAGAGTTACGTTTGTTTGTTTTTTAGTTTGCATTCCGACCGCAGATATTGTGGTCAATGCAAACCACCAAAGTGCCGGTTTTGTTGCCAGATAAAAAGAGTATTAAAAAAACTATTATCATCTACTGGCAAAGGAGGTTCCAATGGTGGCGTCGTCAACAAAATAACAAAACCTCTCTCTCTGCTGGACGCGTGGCGGCGCAGTTGCGACGAACTTCTTCACGCGAGCCTCTGGCAGCAGCAGCAACAACAGCGGCGGTGACGACGACGATGATGGAGGAGGAGGAGGAAGGAGCCATGGAGACGAAGGGGATCTGCGTGAAGGTGGCGGAGCGGCTGAGTGACGGCAGGATCGCGTTCCCAGACATCAGCGTCCAGCACTCGGCACTCGCCGCCAAGGAGATCATCGCGCGCAAGATCCACGTGGCCCCCGTGCTCATCGGTACGCGCTGAGGCCCCGTGGCCGCAGGGCCGTCACCGCGGCCCTTCACTGTGAAACCCTTCACTGTAAACCCTTCATTGTGAAACCCTTCATTGTGAACCCTTCACTGTAAACCCTTCATTGTGAACCCTTCACTGCGGCCCCGTCACCGCGGCCTTTCATTGTGAAACCCTGCACTGTACCCTTCATTGTGAACCCTTCACTGTAACCCTTCACTGTAAACCCTTCACTGCGGCCTTGTCACCACGGCCCTTCATTGTTAACCCTTCATTGTGAAACCATTCACTGTAAACCCTTCATTGTGAACCCTTCACTGTAACCCGTAACCCTTAATTGTGAACCCTTCACTGCGGCCCCGTCACCGCGGCCTTTCATTGCGACCTTTCACTGTGGCCCTTCACTGTAACCCTTCATTGTGAACCCTTCACTGTAACCCTTCACTGTAACTCTTAATTGTGAACCCTTCACTGCGGCCCCGTCACCGCGGCCTTTCATTGTGAACCCTTCACTGTGGCCCTTCACTGCGGTCCTCGACTGTGGCTGGCCCTTCATGGCGGCCCTTCACTGGGGCCTCTCGTTGCGGCCCTTCACTGCTGCCCTTCACCGCGGCCCTTCACTGCGGCCCGTCATTGCGGCCTGTCATTGCAGCCTGTCACTGCGATCATTTACTACGGCCTTAAACTGTGACCACTCATTGCGGCCCTCCACTGTGTTGGGCCCTTCACCGCGGCCCTTCACCGCGGCCTTGCATTCGTGCCGTCGTGTGCCGCTGGTACGGTATACACCCAGTGAGCATATCACGTTGGGCCAACGTTTGAATGTGGTTGTAACCGTTGGCCCAACGTTGGCCCAACGTTCCATGCTTACCGAGTAGTAAAGTGCAGTGTTTTGTTTACCAAATCACCGATCACGGACGCTAAGAGGTTGGCACGGGCTGCTTGCTGATTGCCGAACTGTGGTGAGTAGCAACAACATTGCAGTAAACTTCGTAATGTGTCTGTCATCATCATCGGCCATGGTCTATCCACTTCTGGACGGAGGCCTCCCCCCACGACGTGTCGGTCACGGGCGTTCTTTTGACCATACTTCACCACGCTGGTCAGTGCGGTTTAGTGATCGGGGCCAGCGGCTCGGGGTGAGGTTCAGGTTTTGACCGCGGGTCGGAATCAAACTCAGGTCACCAGGTACATTGCGCTGTGTTTTGCTCAACACAGTATTAGCACCGTGCCTCGTTTTGTCTCAGAAATGATGAACAGTAAGTAACCCTGTTGTGCATGCCCAGTGCCGGATTAAGCTAGTGCGGGGCCTGTAGTATATGTTATAAATGGGCCCTAACTTTTTTTTTAAAAAACATTAAAACACAAATTTTTGAACTTGCATAGTAAAGTGATTGTATTTTTTCATTTGCTATACAGCCAGATATTACGACAAATCGCTAACCTTAAACACCCAGTCGTTCGTAAAAGTCGAAGGCAGTATAGTACTGTAGTAATAGAACAAGTGCAGAATCACTTAACCGGAATTGATAGCTTGAAATCATTGAGCGTGGGGCCCTTAAAAGTGCGGGGCCCATAGCTACTACACATGTAGTAGCTACTACACATGTACACGTGTAGCTACACCACAAGTAGCTACACGTGTAGCTACTTGTGGTGTAGCATGTACACGTGTAGCTACACCACAAGTAGCTACTACACATGTAGCTACTTGTGCTACTAGGGTCATCCGGCACTGAGAATGCCGTTGTTTCCCCAGCCACGTGACTCTTTCCATCGCTCGGACCATAATTTGTCTCTCGTGGCAACTCTGCTGTCCAACCGGGGTTCGTGTTGTTCCTCTCACGCGTGTTTTGATGGGATGCCCTGGCTCGCACTCTCCCCTGCCACGGCTTCGGGTCAGGGGTGAGTCAGCAGATAGGCCGTGACTACTATCTATGGTAGTGGGATCAAACGGCTCACTCGAGGCACCAGTGTGTGGCAGCGAGAGCACAGTCTATGAGAATTCTGTAGCAAGAAGTCGCACGTTTGGCGCAATGGCCCTTCGATGACTATGCATAATGAATGAATGATTATTTATCTATACCCGCAGGTGCATGATTTAGAGAAGCAGTCTTCAGGTACTAATGTCCCTAACCATAAATCTTAACTAACCCAAAACCTTAATCCCAAAACCCGAACCATTAACAGATAACCTCAAACCCTAATCGCTAGCCTTCAACCATAACTTAACATCCTAACCTTTAACCATAAGCTTAACCCCTCGTTTTAAACAATAACCTAACGTCCTCACCCATCATAACCCTAACTCCTAAACAATAATCCCATAACCCTATTCCCTAAACTGTAAACATAACCTAACCCTAAACTGTAAATGGTAACCCAAAGCCTAACCCTTCGCGTTAAATCATCTTACTAAATCTGTCCTCAACCCGAATCCACAAAACCCTAATCCCCAGTCTGATACCAACCTAACTGTAAACCTGAGCTGTAACTGTAACCTATAACCCTTAACCATACACACAAACTACAGAAGCAGCCTGCTTCATATTTCATCAACTCATCCCTAATGAAGCTGGGATTGGCAAGGACACCTAATGGCTCAACACAATTCAAGGAAGGCCTGTGATTAGAGAAAAAACTGGTCTATAATTTGATCAAAATCTGCAGGAACAGCAGTGCCGGAAACTTAGTATCTTCCTCCTCATAGCATCGTGTGCGATTAGCATCACTTTTACTTATTTACTGTAGTGTCAAATGTGGATTTTCAGCTTGAGCTCTGTTGTAGCTCAGAGTGTGTGTGTGTTTTGCATGAAGCAGTGTGCTGCGCCCACTTCTTTTGCAGACCTGGTGTTCTGCGGGAAACGGCTCCAAGATGGCCAGAGCCTGGAGTCGTGCGGCGTGCAGCCTGGGGCCACGGTCCACGTCCTGCGGAGAGCGTGGCCTGAGCCCACGGCCTGCCCCGGTGTGTGCTCCTCTCGATAAGTCGTTCAGTAGCAGCGGAATCATCAGAATCAGAAAGTTTATTTTTACTGGAGGAATCCGATGAGCTGTAAAAAAAAAATTGTTTGTTACGGATGTCCAGTAGGGTCAGGTCAGGACGTTACAGCAACAAACAATGCAAAAAAACAGGATTAGGAGTGCAAAGTATAGGAAAGGCAAGCAAAAACACTAAAAAAATATACAAATAAACGTTTGTTTTACCAGGTGAAGGCTACTGAGCTATTAGCTTCACTTTTCAGAAGCGACCTGGCCACAAAATGATAGGTAAACGAAGTGGCTTATAATGTGGAAATTTATAGCAGCCAAATAATCCCTTAACAATCTAAACGCACGTTTGTAACGACAAGCGAATGTGACATCAGGAGAGCCTGTGCGTGACGATGTGTGTTGCAACTCTGTCCAGAACCGGTGGACAAGGTGGAGGCACAGAGGGCATTGCGGTTCCTGCATTCTGCCATCGCTTCCAGCCTGACTCACAGGGAAGCTGTGAGTGCATTACTACCTAGCGTTGGTGTACGGTGCTTTTCCCGCAATATTTTGCTGTCTTTTCTTGGATTTTCTGTTTGCACATCGTCACATAGTCACTTTAAGATGTTTTCTTGTTCATGTTTTTTGTTTGTTGCGGTTGCACCCGATTCAAGAGCCGAATGGCTCACAGGGCTATACCAAATAAATGAAATTGAAACTGAAAAACCTTGATACTAAACGAGTCATCATTTAATTTGTTTTGCTTTGCACCTTCATAATTTAACAGATGTTTATGTTTTTCATTAAAATCATCGTTAATGTATAGGTGCTCATGCAGTTTGTGTCATTTACCCATATTTTAATAGATGCTGGTTGTTATTTCAAAGTTTTAATTGTTCATAGTCCCACAGGAAGTCACATCAAACATGTCTTAGAGTGTACTCTTCATAAAAAAGTGACAAATTCCAAAAACCATGTGAAGACGTTACAAGATTGAATTTAAACTGAAATGTGTTGTTATTTTATTCAGTGCAGTCACTTTAAAATGACTTGCACATGTCTTGTACTCGAGCATAAATAACTTTTGCTTGTTTGTCATCAATCATCTTCATAGAACATGTATAATTGTGTTGGTGGCCATCTGTTATTGAGCATATGGTAAAGTGAATGCATGATGTAACACGTTGCACATCTGTTTGTGTTCTGTATAATACCATAGTAAACCTTTGCCTCTGTGACAGATATTCAAAACTCTGAATAGCAAAGAATCATTGGATCAGCTGGTCGTTGCAACACCTGGACTCAGCAATGATCCAATCGCCCTGGGTGAGGAGCGTGGTTATTCCGTTTACATCCACTTCACTTCATCATGAATGGAAAATTAAAAGACAAGCCGCGGCGTGACTGTGGCCATGCAACCCATTGTATGGACCATGTAGTAAACCACTAGTCTGCGTTCCTTCAGTGGAGGAGGAGGAGGACCAGCAACACAACACAAACTCTATCCTGAAGCCCTCCTCGCCATCAAACCTAAATCAACATTGACATTTGTATGTATGCATGCATGTATGTTGAACGTCTTTCTCACCATACGTAGCCAACCGTGCTAATCGGAGAAGCTCCTGAATATTTTGGCATACACAAGAATACAATTTACATTCACCTCAAATAGTACACTGGCTTGTCGATCCACTTCTGGATCTGGGCTTCCCCATGCCTTGCGGGTCATATGGGTTATTAACCATACTTCACCACTCTGGTCAGTGAGGTTTGTAGAAGGTAGGGAGCATATATGTGAGAACATGTAAATACAGCTGCCCTCTGATGAGCCAACAGAGCAACACTGCAGCCTATAAAACATGTGCATGGTGGTTCCCTATCTAATCACTATCCAGACTGAATTTTGCTTAGCTTTTGAGATCTCACACGTTTGAATGTATTTTGGGTGATTTGGTCAGAGGCAGGCTTTTTTTTAGGCCTGTTAAATCTTCCACATTGGACAGTTAGTCACACGCTGCATTTCTTTAAATAGTTACACATTTTCACGAGAAATAAGAAGTGTAACTATTTTTACATATCCTTGCTCTCGCGACTTTCCTGGCCCAAGCTCCCGTGGCCTGACCACCCAATCCAGTAGGGCGCAACTTTTATGGGCAGGAATTCAAGCAAGGAGGGGTTGGTAGTCAGAAATTGGGTAGGAGCAATATATATAGTAAAAAATAAGTTCTCAGTTCATGAGGTGAAAATGTGGCTTAAAAAGTAATCATATGCTAGGTAGGGCTTTTGAAAGATGATTACAGTTTGTTTATGTTTGGTTTGCCATAGACCAGGGACGGCAACCACAATAACAAGAAGGGGCATTTTTTTCCAATTTGGTAAAAAAGACCTCTATTTCGAGAGCCGTACAATGCACGCAAATGTGAGACGGTGATTCCTTAATACATAACTTCAGGAAGCGGTCCTTATAAAGAGCCGCATGCAGCTCCAGAGCCGCAGGTTGCTGACCCCTGTAGTAGACCAATATGGCGATGTGGTCAAGTGAGGCAAGAGACGTCACGGCACACGAATAACTTGTCATCGTGAGTCCCTTGATGCCACTGTTTTCTGATGGCACTCCGGGTGTTGAGAACCTGGCGTCCTCGTGAACGAGCGCTCTCCTGCCACACACTGGCAACACACATGACGACGACAGGCCATTCCTCCAGCTCGCTTCTGGTTAACCATGGCCAGAGTGCGTATCATGGGGAATCATTGTGCACCTTATAAAGTGAAATTGTTTTATGAAAATACTAAAAAAACTCGATACAATTTTGATTTGAAGCTTTCGTGACTGCAGAAATCCATACTCTTTGGTTCTTTCGGTAAAGTCACATAGGTATAAAAATACAATGATCAACACTGCCTTAAAAGGAAAAAAAATATGATTCTTTATGTTTTGGGTATTGGCGCTTCTTCATAATGCATAACTGATGCCAATGAATACACAGTCAGTGATTGCATAATAATCTGTTCAGTAATTGTGGGCATTGATCTAAAGGCCTGTAACTGTTGACGTTAGTTTCCAAGCAAGTATAACTTTTTCAAAATAGATAATCGGACAATATGTATCCTTTGTATAGCTGTTTTTTTTTAAACATTATTTTTTATTATACAGTGATGTTGTGTTTGAACTTTTACAGCAGAGTTAATGTTTGGTATGTCTGGGATAACTTATACTGTGATTGAGCCTACTCGGCCCATATCATCGATCTGGAGTCGGTGAAATGAGTACAAGGTGGTGGGCACCAATTATGGAATGTCTTATGGAGATGCTGGTTGCCCCACAGGAATGTGTATTTTCATCAGTCATAGGATTGCCAAAAGTGATGAGCAATGCTATTTATTTTTTCATAGAAACTATTAATTAATGATTCATTAATAGAAATTATTAATTCATAATATGATATCAGTTCTATAACAACCGGATGATGTGTGTGACATTTTCAGGAGTACTGCAAGACAAGGATTTGTTCATGCTGTTTGCTGACCCCAGCTTGTTGGATAAGTACGATGGTCGTTTTTTTATTTACCAATTACATGTACATGTTTGTTTTTGTAATACAAACTGACATCTATTTTTTTCGTACCCAATTAAGCTAGATGGTATTGTATTTAGCGATAGCCATGCTGTGCTCGTGAACTTTTATCCCCTCCACACTCGTGCACCCAATATACAAAATTACACTGGATCCAAATTAAAACTGGCACCTAGAATCGGATATTAGCTCCAGAAGGCTGCCAATTTAAACTGTTCACATGATGAACACGGTAATTTTAATGTTTCTCAGCACATTATCTCTGGGGTGCTGCTGCCATGGTTCAATGCTTAACTCACTGGACTTGGAATCCATACGTTGCCTGTTCGATCTCCCGGCACAGCAGTTGAAACAATGGGTAAGTTTATTAATTCCCCCCCAAACGTCTGTTGACCCAGCAGTATAAATGGGTGCACCGGTGTGGTGGGGTAACATGTGGGTACTCCCATCTTTTCCAAGATTTATGTCCAGCATGGAAAAGTAGAACCAAAATACCCTTCCGAGATGCCCCCTCTGGTGGAGGCCCTTCCCATCAGCAGCGCCCTGAGCAAGCAGTTGCAGTGCTGCGCCTTTAGCTTCTGACATTCTCTCTCGCTCGCCGGTGGCCCGTGTGCAGGCTGATTGCGTCGCACCCAGCCTTGGTGAACGCCATGGTCCTGTTGCTTCACTCAATTGTTGGCAGCACGCCGCTAACTGGCAGTGGGGCCTCCGCTCGCCAGCGTACTACGTCGGCCAGTTACGACATTCCAGGCAAGTGTCGTGGACACGATTTTTTAAAGTCTGTTGTTTCGTGTGTCTGTGTATATACTTGTGATTGCGTGGAGCAGTGGCGAGATGTTAGCTACCTAACCTGGTATGCAGGAGTTCGTGGGTACGACCATGACCCTGACACCTGTGTATTTGGATGGAGTTTGCATGTTCACCCCGTGGTTGCATGGCTTTTTCTCCAGGTCCTCCGGTTTTTCCCTCCACATTTAGAAGCATACGTTTACGAGTATTTGGCTCCTATACATTTCCACATGATAAGCCACTTCGTTGAGCCATCCTTTGTGGCCGGGTCACTTCTGCAAAAGAACTACGTAGCTCAGTGTGCATTACCTGGTAAAATAAAAACAATTGTTTAGTTTTTTCCGTCTGTATGGAATAGTCGCCTGACTTTTCTCCGGGTCCTCTCGTTTCCTCCCACAAGTAAACACTCGCCAATTGACCGCAGAGCTTGTGTAATTAAAGCAATTGGCGGGACCCCGGGGTCCCATCACTGCCCCGGGGTGGGAAAAACCGCGTAGCGACACGAGTCTTGTTGCCTTACCGACAACAACAAAACTAGCGGTCAATCGATTGGCCTCGTCGAGAGCTACTCGGGGCACTAAGTTTCGTAAAAAGTTGAAAAATTACATAAACACGTTAAATTCACTGCGGGGGCAGGCTCGCCTTGGCAAAGAAGCTGAGGATCGACAGCTGACCGGAGTTCGTCGTCGCCGCGCGCGACCGCGGCGGACGCCCCCCGGGGCTCGCGTTTGGCCGGTGGGGTGGCGCCCGTCGTGTTGATCGCCGCCTGCTGGCGCTTGTTGGCGCGAGTCTGGGCGGGCGGCGCGTTGCTGTCGGGGTCACGAGTGGGCGCACTGAAAAATAATAATAATTATTGACCTGATTTTTGCGGGACCCCGGGGTCCCGCCAAATTATTCATTTGTTGGCGCCAGCTCACCACGTGGCTGCTTTCCTGCTTGTCTGTGGTCCATTGCATCTCTTTTTCTCTCTCTCTTCGAGAGTTGAGTGAATGCTCTGCGCTGTTACAAGTTGGAATAATTGTTCATCCTCCCTGGCCACCTTGTTTAATGTCTTTCAACCACGGAGCCATGTAGCTTCAGTCTGCTATCCTTGATATTAATGTGTTGTGTTGATATTAATCTGTTGTGTTGATATTAATCTGTTGTGTTCAAGTAATAACGACATCAGTTTCTTTTTGCAGGTGGCTTTGCATTTGATGGTCTTTCTGACGATGAGGAGGGTGAGCAATCGCAGGTAAAAATATTGCTCTCGGTATATATTATTTTAATTGCTATAAAGTGCAGTTTTTTTAAGTGTATTTATGTATTTCGGCACTAAAACCTGTGTTCCGTGAACATGGATTTAAATGTTTTACCATTCGTAAGTCGCATCAATTTAATTTTAAAATTTCAAGAATATTACGAGGCTTAAATATTGAGTGGTAAACCTCACCGTGGACCGTTTGAGTTGGTCAAGTTGATATTTTTACTTAGAGCAAGATAAAGTAAGCAACTTTACCTCCAAGTTATCATTCTGAAAAAAATAAAGTTTAAATGCCTTCAACATAAGTACGTCAAGGTATGTTATTATTGTATTCCTGTTTTCCCAAACAAATGTCACACACACTCACAGCATTGATCACAATAAAGGCCCACCACACTTGAGCGAGATCTGGTTTTCCCTTTAAATTATGTTTAATTAAAGTGTACTGTACAATAAAGGGCGTTTATCCAATTTTTTTGTTTGTAAATATGACTAGCGGGAAAGTACCCGGCGTTGCCCGGGGGAAAAATAAATTTAAAAACAGTCTCAAAACCTAAAAACATAACATATACAAATGAAAATAAAACTTTGATCATTACCTCATGAAAATTTAAATAAAACCCAACGCGCGGTGGAAAAAAAAACTGACGCTCGCGCGCCAAGATTCCATTCTTGAAATCGCGCAAAGGAATCGAAGCTTGTAGATTTATTTAGAATCGGCTTGTTCCCGTTGAATCGATGTCACAAATGCTCAGCAGATATCGATTCTCGCCAGTCTTGTATGCAGGTTGACGCCACACACTTCATGGCCATTCCCCCCCCCCCCCCCCAAAATATAAAAGTCAGTTTTTATCTTTTTTGCATTTTGTACAGTCTGGAAACTACCCACATGCCAAATTTCAAGTTTGTTGCATGTCGGGAATTATGCTAAACATTTCGAACAGACACATTCACAAATTTCCCTTTTATATATATAGATATATACATTAAGATGTTCCTGTAATCATGCACAGGAGAGCTCCTATTGTCCTTCACCCTCTTACCCACGTAAATTCGCGGGTTACCCCGCTCATGATAGGATCAGCGAAACTGGTCTCCAACATCAGAATGGATCAAATGGATTATCCTCCATGCCATGAATTACATTAAATCACACATACACAGTGCTGTCGCGCAGTGCGATCTGCCCATTAGTTTAAAAGTCACGGCCAGTCTTAATCGGTTACGTTAAGATGTATTTCGTTGTCCGGTTTTCCTTCGCACGCTGTAATCGTATACCGGCACCCTCAATGCTCGCTCATTCCCGTGTTCGGTGTCCCTGTGGCACTCCGATTCGTACCACATCGTCGGCTGCAGTCTGGGGCACTGGACCAGCAAATGATGGGAACGTCGCGGCCGAGCAGCTTGCGCTACGCAGGCTCCTCCGGTCCTCGACCCATCACCCAGACAGAGTTGGCCACAGCCCTGGCGCTTGCCAGCACGCCGGGAAGCAGCGCTAACACCCCCACGTCCGGCCTGCAGGTGACGATATAAACCCTCTCGTACGTGAATGAGTAAGAAGCAAAGACCAAACGTATCTTTGATTTCTTTTAATGTGAGTTTAGTCAAAGGAACACCCCAGATTAAATTTTTTTTAAAATATTAGTTATTCACAAAGTAGTAGCATCTCCATTGCAGTGGACACTGAGCTGCCATTGCCACCGTCACCTTGAATACCCAGCTCTGCTTTACCCAATATGACTCAATATGACCCAATATTTATGTCAGTCATATTTTCCACCACTAGGACATCACACTGATTAGATGAGGTCCGGTGGAGAGGACTGCATGCACCAAGTGTGTTGAGGCAAGTGTACATTGGCTGAAATGCCAAATAAATAAATATAATATATAATATTCTTGGTTCTTTCGGTAAAGTCACGTTGAAGGGAAACAATAAAATAATACAATATATATAAAAAATAAAATTCTCACGACGTTTCGACTGCAACACAAGCAGTCATCATCAGGTGTGAAAACCAACGGCAAGAACATTTGAAAGAAGTGGCGGTATTTATTTATTTATTAACGTTTGCACCACGGATAGCGATTTGACAGTTTGTTTAGATGGACGAGTCCATCTATGTTCGGAAAAGGGGAGGGGGGAGACGAAAAATTAATGTATGCTGTCTGAAAGCCACCGTAAGGGTGAACAATCTATTTAGACCCGAAATGGTTTATGAAATCCTTCCAATGATTGCTAAGCCAGAATCCATCTTCTCGGTTAAAATTGTCTCTGTGTTTGTACATGTGGATAGCCTCATGAACGAATCTCCAATGGTAGCCAGATGGCTTGCAAAGAACCTCTGTCTTGGAGAAGTCAATGTCATGTGAGCCTACTGAATTATAACAGTGATCTGCCACGGCCGAGGTGTTGGTCCTACCGTGTTTAAGGTCTGCTTTGTGTTCACGAATGCGGTCCGAGACATGTCGTTTGGTTTCTCCAATGTAACTACTACCACAGAGGCAACTTAGTTTGTAGACACCAGGGTACTGTATGTCCGGAATCACATCTTTTACAGACGGAACCAGATCACGAATTTTATGTAATGTGTTGAAACGGACCTGGATCTTGTGTTTATTCAAGATTTTGGAGATCTTTTTGTGTGATTCCCGCAATGTAGGGTAAAGTGATGGATTTGAAAGGCTCCTCAAGAGGGTCCTTCTTCATGGTTTGAGTGATAGCTTTGCGGATTGTATAGTCGGAGTAACCATTAGCCTTAAGAGCTTGGTGTACGTGCTTGAGTTCACCGCCACTTCTTTCAAATGTTCTTGCCGTTGGTTTTCACACCTGATGATGACTGCTTGTGTTGCAGTCGAAACGTCGTGAGAATTGTATTTTTTATATATATTTTATTATTTTATTGTTTCCCTTCAACGTGACTTTACCGAAAGAACCAAGAATATGAATCAGTGCAGTCATGAAAGCTTTAAATCAAATATAATGTATAATATAAAATGTTAATAAAATAAGATGGCAAATTAAAAAAATGGCAATAAAATTATAACAGTCCACCCCCAGTGGACATGATGCATGGGAGAGGAGTTTCAGGAACTTGTGCTGATTGATTTCCATGATCCCTAGCCTGAATCACAAATATTGGAATTAAATGTGTTTTATTTTGAAGAATTGCCAAAGCATGACGTCCAGTGATGATTGCAATTGCCGCCATTAATTTTCATTGAGATCCAGGAATCGACATTGAAATAAATTAGCATTCTATGGACAAGTCCTAGGCTGCAATTCTCCATAGCAGATTCTGGTTATGCTGACGGTCCCATGAGAAATTTCCATGAGATGACATCTTGACCCTGTTAGAATACCATTTAAGTGCATAAAAATGTTAACACCATTGGAATCGCCCGTGGACAAATTTCAATTCCTGCTGCATTCTTGCAACCACAGTGGGATCATAGAATTGTGGCCAGTGCTGCACACTCCTTGTGCCCCATACAGATGGTTGCCACTGGGGGGCAAGACTGCCCAAGGCAAATGGAATAGTTGAGATGAGGCACTTTGAGATGTCGAGGCATTTAAGCGCCCTATAAATGCAAATCCTTAAATCATTTGCGATTCCTGAAACCATTACCTAAGGCTAACAGGGAAATACAACTTGGTGTCCTAAAAATTACAATGCGGTCACCATGGCCAAATCCATTGATGCCACCGCACCTCGCCAATGCTTTATACCCTCTGCCAGATCACGAAGCTGCTGCTGCACAGTCGGCATACGACCTACAAGAGGTCATCATTTTAAACCCATGGCCTATTTATTTAATTCACTGGCCCATTAAAGGCGAGGCAAAGCATCCTTTAAGCGTAAACTGTAGCCAGTGTAGCTCCCGGATTTGTTTTAAGGTTGCGCCACGTGTCATTCCGTACATTTCCCTCCATTTGCCCGGAGCTACTTCGGCTCGGTTCCTGAAGAAGCTGGCAACACGTGGAGCAAAACGTCGGAGCGCATGTCAAACAACACGCTGTACAACTCGAAAACAAGTCGTAGAGCTGTGATAACACAACCGCACAAACCTACTCGGTAGCAACATGTGTCATGGCATGATTTTTTTGGTTTTGTTATTTCCTATGGTTGATGCTAGGCCTCCACAGCAACCTCACCAGGATTTGGAGCTGCTCAGCCTTCCACGTCTGCCGGTGCCATTCGTCCAGAAATCTTTACCCATGCTCTGCAGCATGCTCTTAGAGCAAACAATCTTCCCTCTGCACAGGTAGGTCGTCGGATGTACATCCAGCTTTTATTAATTGCCTATACATGTGCATCCATGCGTGGGGAAAACACAAAGTCATTGTGCATATTCCCATTGTTGTTATTGGGGGATCCCACTAGCTTAGGAGTGGTTGTACTTCTAACAGTCCAAGAGCCATAACAGTACCCATGCGTTCTGCAAAGCGCCAAGTAGATATATATCTGTATGTATGTGTATTGACAGTATTTCGGCACAGCATGGGAGACATTTGCTCCTGTGATTGCATGTTCTACGTTCTGCCCCGTTGATGGAGCCGCATGTGGTGGATTAAAGAGCTGCATGCGGCTCGGGAGACGACAGTTGGCTATCGCTGCGTTAGCTTATGAATGGAAATGATGGATAATTACTGTAGAACCAGAGAAGGACACGTTGCGATGCATCTTGATATTCGTTTAAGGTATTTTTTACAGCTTGCTCTACGGCTTAAAGTAAGCATGTGCTTGCTTTGACAATAGACGTAGCATACAAACCCTGTCATGAGTGTTATGGCGGGACTACTTGAGTTGAGTTTAAACATAATGTGGTTACTTGTCATTCAACAATAAACAAAATAAGAAAGACGATACTCATAACCGTTTTCACAAGGGACGGGTCGACACGGGTATTTTGACTTGCGTTACGTGAAATGTGTTCACACCACCAGTGTAACTGAATTTTCGGGCCGCGTGGTGTGCCGCGTGGTGTGCCGCGTGGTGTGCCGCGTGGTGTGCCGCGTGGTGTGCCGCGTGGTGTGCCGCGTGGTGTGCCGCGTGGTGTGCCGCGTGGTGTGTGGCGTTCGCAATAGAACCCTTTTTCGACCCCCTTTTTTGTCACTCCAAACCTGCTTGCCTGCCACGTCACACTTTAAACCGTAAAAAAAACTTTTATTTTACCAGGTAAGGCCTACTGAGCTATGTAGCTCTTTTCCAGAAGCGACTTGGCCACAAATGATAGCTCAACCAAGTGGATTATCACGTGGAAATATATAGCAGCCAATTACTAAATGTGGAGGGAAAAACCGGAGGACCTGGAGAAAAGTTCACGTGACCACGGGGAGAACATCCAAACTCCAAATATACAGGTGTCAGTGTCGGGATTGTACCCACGACCTCTTGTATACCAGGCGAGGGAGATAACATTTCGCCACCGTGGCACCACTTCACATTTCAATAAGTTGAACATACTCAAGATAGCACACACGTAAACTTAAGTGAGCTTTAAGTGGCCGTTTTATGACGTGACATGATTGATATGATCCTGTGTGAACCCAAATTAATTCTGTTGTTGGAATGAACAGCAAATTTTATCCGATTTGTTTGATGCTGCGATTGTGTAATATTTAGTGTGCTGAACTCGCAATCCAGAGGTTGCCAGTTCACTCTCATGGCTCCCCAGTTGAACACATGCCAAGTTTATTAAATCCTCTCGCATCTCTCCACCCAGCAGTATTATTGGGTACCTCAGTTAATCGATCGGCAGGTCACGTGGGACGACATGGAACGTGCACACTCCCAACTCTTCCACGGTGTCTTTTTATTCTTGTAATTTGTGCGGTGTAGAAGAGTAGGCCACATACCCTCCAGGGGGGGACTGTAGGGCTTTCCCCTGGTAGAGGCCCTTCTTCCAGTGGTGGCAGGAGAAAGCAATTGTAGGGCCGCGGCAGTACGTATGTATGTTGATCTTCTTTTTCACCGTACCTAGCCATCGGAGTTGCAGTACATACCTTGTGCGGATGTTCAGTGTGTACGTAATTGAATCTGTTTGCGCTGTCTCTGACCGCATGCCATGCCTTGCCTTGGCGTTCCATGTTTTAGCCAACCCAGTGGAGGGCGCAGCTGCAGCAGCTCCGCGCCATGGGCATCCACGACGATGGGCTGAGCCTGCGCGCGCTGCAAGCCACGGGAGGGGACATCCAGGCCGCACTGGAGCTCATCTTTGCCGGAATGGCTCCGTAGATTGTAGAAGCTTGTTCGCAGCATCTGAGGCTGTCCTCCAAATGCACATAGACTCGCAGTATCCTGTTACTGTTTAGATCACTTGTCGGTCGCATGTGCTTATCAGCTTGTGTTATCTACTTATATGTATAGCTTTTAAGATGCCGTGGACTGGTAACAGGTTAAAATTGGCAGGCAAGTAGCAGTGGTTTTGAAAAAGTAAGTAATTGCTAGCAACCGTCACTTCTCATGTATATAATTTAATAAAACGCTGTCAAGATAATTTGTGTTTTTATGAGCATTGATCTATCCACTGCTGGGAGTAGACCCCCCCCCCCCACCATGCTGAGACCGTTTCTCACAGTCCTGCGATGCTACAAACTCCCTCCAGGACGTGATTGCTTGATCTTCTCATTGATCGTCCTCTCGGCCGGGTTCTCTCCTTTGGCTACCGTTCCATCACCAGTCTCGTCCGTTGGTCATCCCTCCTCGTATGTGTTCAGTGTTGGTCATTTGTCCCTTGGCAGATTCTTTTGGAGGGATGTAAATTTCGAGGCACTATTGGTCACCTCCCTGCACTTGAAGTGGTGTTTAGTAGCTTGGAAAAGCTCTTCCTGTGGTTTCCCAGTTAAACTAAACTATTTTTTTTTACTTTACCAGGTAAGGCCCACTGAGCTATACAGCTCTTTGAGAAGTGACCTGGCCACGAGCGGCTTATCAGAATTGACTGATGTGGAAATTTATAGCAGCCAAATACTCTAAAACGCGTGTTTCTAAGTGTGGAGAGAAATACTTGACGTGGAGAAAAATCCACTCGACCACGGGGAGAGAACATGCGAACTCCAAATATTCAGGCATCGGGGTTGGGATGGAACCCACTACCTTCAGGCGAAGCAGTTCACATCTCATCGCTGTTGCGCTGGTTACAATGTCTCTGGCTCGAGTTGGCTCTGGGCATCCCCACTTCTCATCTCCTTCAGTTGCCCTTGCAGACATGTATCCACTAAGCACTCCTCCTGCTACTGTGTTCACATGGGCCAACCACTCCAGCTAGCTTTCACCTCTTTACCGCTGCTAAAAGAGGCTCATATGTTCCGGTTTTGCGCAGTTGTTGAGCAGAGTGGTTAGTCTTGAGTTTATAGCATAAGATTCAAAATCCATTGTTGTGCACTCACCCCCCCCCCCCCCAAAACCCACATTCACCAACCTGCACTAACAAGTGTGGTGAAGTATGGTAAAATGTCCTTAATTTGCTGAGGCCCTCATCTCGCAGTGGATTGACAAAATGGACTGTACATGTCCTTTCGGGTTGAAGGTCCGTTCTGTTTTTGTGCTTTGTCCAGTCCTGATGCCTCCCTGATCCTCTGCAGGCAACGTGTTCGCTTGACACTTCAGCCTCATCTGAAGTCGGTTTATTTCGGGTAAGACCCATTCAGCGAATAACTTCTTTTCAGTGGCGACCCTGCCAAGGCGGCAAGCACGTGAAATGGGAAGAGGGGAAGGGCTCGCAGATGTTACATAGAACAAAAGCAGGGGCAGTTTATAAACGTCACACGTGTAATAATACACTCCCAGAACGATGCACAATGGAAATCTAGTAGGCAATTCCAAATAACAGCCATGACATTTGGTGAGAGGAACTCATTGCATTTAAAATAGCATTTATAACGGCAAGAATTACGGGAGCATGTGCAGCCAAGCTTGCATTGGGTGACTTGATTAGGCTGATGGTGGAGTCGTTCTTTCACCGTCGGAGGTTCCCTTGAGTATGGGGGTCACAATCGGCCTTGTCAGTAACATTGGCCATCTTATTCTTTGGGTCTTTCGGTAAAGTCACATCGATGGTTCAAAGAAAATAACAATACGACGTTTCGATCACAACATAAGCGATCGAAACGTAGTTCTTTGTTATTTTTCTTTGAACCATCTACGTGACTTTACCGCAAGACCCAAACAATATGATTTCCTTGCTGTCACGAAAGCTTTAAGTCAAGAATTGGCCATCTTCCTTTCAGGTCAGGTTTCATATCTTGTGACGTGTGTCAATGGTGGCATCTCCATTGTTCAGCAGTTCAGAACGAATGTCAATTCCTGCTGTTTTTCCATGTTTTATTGTATTTATATCGATCAATCTGTAGAATGACAACATCCGTCAAATAAAACATTTTGAATGAGAATGAAGACGTCCATAGTTATGCGCGAGTTATGGGTGGCGGCGTACGCCTGTTATCCAGCACTGTGGAGGCGGCGACGGGGTTGGTGAATAGTAACAAATATACTGGAACCGTCTTCCCGTGGGTGTCGAAATGCCTAAACCCGGGCTCGCCAGAAGGCAGGCAGTCGATCAAGTTAACTCATCGCCATCTGTTTTCGTCTGTACGTGGGCTTGCTCCAGATGCTCCGGGTTTGCTCACACTTGGAAATAAACTCGGCATCAATTGGCCGAATACATCTTTTAAAAGGGAATTTTTAAAAAAAAAAAATCTACCCGGGGCCCTGTGGGCACCTTGCCTCGGGCTTTTCAATATCTGTACCCCCTTCTCCCCATCGCTTGTGCTTTGTACCGGGGTCTTGTTTCATGAAAACATAAAAAACACCCAATGCAGGGAACGGATGATGGTCGTTAAACCCGCCAACACCCGACACTTCATGGGTTGTGTCGGGTGGTGGCGGGTTTAACGACACATTTATATTTACACGATCTAACCCCCCAAAAAAACCTTTATTTTGGATATTGGACGCGAAACACTACGTGTCAAAGTGATGATGGCGGTGCTGAGGATTGAAGACGGCGTGGCGGCCAAGGAATGGAAGAGCCAGTAGGCCGTAGTGGAGATTTAGCAAACAGCTTGTTTGCGGGCGCAATGTGGATCGTTTTGCATTGCAAGTCCGCTCGAGATGGACGTTACTGCGAGGCATTCAACAGGGGGTAGGTCCATGGCTGATTGCCAATGAATATAATAAAGCCGGAGTTAAATTGTCATTTCGTTGAATGAACCTCAAAAATAATAGGGCATTTTCCTGTTTCAGCCCGTAAAAATAAGTTATTTTCTACAAACTTTAAACCGAAAGTTCCCGTTGCATGATTGCCCAGAATTACCACCAGGAGGCAGCTGTACGTTGTGGTGCAGTATCATTCATCCATGTTCTACGAAGGGCCATTGCACGAAACGTCGCCTGTTACATATATTTCCCATTTAAAGCAGTGTAATTGACGAACGTTTTATTTGTTACTCATGATGGGGGAGCGGTGGCGCAATAATTAGTGTGCTGCATCATAAGCCCCCTCTGCCCGTTGAGCTTAAACGAAATGGGGAATATTTTTCAGATCCCAAAAAAATAGTTGACAATTTTAACCTTAATTTTTCTAAAGCTGGTAATCTTTTTGATAATGTATTGGGAGTCACCCCTGCTCATGCAAATTCCTACACCCCTGTCCAAACATTAAATTTAGTTTCCAGCCAATCCACGAAAGTAATGTTCTGAAACAACTGTCCTACCTCAAAGGGTCCTCCTCTACTGGAGCAGATAGTATTCCCGTCTTTGCTCTACTAACTGTTGGTCACCTAATATACAAAGTTATAGCCCATATTTTCAACCTGTCCATCAAAGAAGCATCAGTTCCTCTAGAATGGAAACATTCCCATGTCCGTCCACTTCACAAAGGGGGCCCTAAAGATGATCCAAATAACTACCGACCTATCTCAATTTTGTCCCCGTTGATTAAATTTTTTGAAAAATTATTGAACTACCAAATTAGCAGTTCCTGTCAACAAACAATCTACTACATCTTCTTTGGTTCTTTCGGTAAAGTCACATAGAATGAGAATAAAATAATAAATTGATAAAAATAAAATAACACAATTAAATTCTCACGACGTTTCGGCCACAACACAAGCGGCCTTCATCAGGTGAAGGGACGAGATGATATTGTCGTCCTCTCAGCCGACAAGGGCAATGCCACTGTCATCATGGACAAAACAGAATATAATAACAAAATTCAAGAACTACTCAACGATGGCAGCTATACAAAAACAAAACGAGATCCCACCAACAGCCTGGTTACCAAAACGAACAAAATCATCTCTGATTCAACAGCATTAATTGATCAGACCAACCAGTTCTCGTTGAAACCCTCTGCTGCCAGACCACCAAGATTATATGGCCTTCCAAAGATACACAAAGAAGATACACCCCTTCGTCCCATCGTCTCTACTATCAACTCCCCCACCTATAAACTGGCACGTTTTCTTGCTGATATACTGCGACCTTTCACTGGAAAAACCACCTCTGCGGTACTAAATTCTACTCACCTGGTATCGACAATCAAAGGCATTTCCCTGTCCCCAGACGACCTGCTTGTCAGTTTTGATGTGGTGTCCTTGTTCACCAAAGTCCCGGTACCTGACACCATCGCTATCATTGAAGACCTGGTTCATCAAGGACTGCATACTGATGTACCCCCCCCTGGTGAGACATTGCTTAACCGATACATACTTCACCTGGAATGGAACTTTCTACAAACAAACTGAGGGCACCCCAATGGGCTCCCCCCTGTCTCCGGTTGTAGCCAACGTATTCATGGAAAAATTTGAAACTGACGCCATCCAGACTGCCACTCTACGCCCGACCTTATGGAAGAGGTACGTGGATGACACTTTTATCATCTGGCCACATGGCCAGCCTGCTCTAGACCAATTCCGCGACCACATCAATTCCATACACCCAGCCATCAGATTTACCATGGAGGTCGAAAAAGATGGCAAACTACCCTTTTTGGATGTCTTAATTTAAAGGAGACATGATGGTTCAATGAGCCACTCTGTCTACAGGAAAGCTACCCATACAGATGCTTACTTGAAACCGGATTCCCACCACCATCCATCCCAGAAGAACTCCCTCATCAAGACTTTATACCATAGAGCCCAATGCATTTCCGACCAGGAACACATTACCAGTGAACTCAAGCACGTACACCAGGCTCTCAGGGCTAATGGTTACTCCGACTACACAATCCGCAAAGCCATCACTCCAGTCATGAAGAAGGATCCTCTTGTGGAGCCACTCAAAACCATCACCTTACCCTACATTGCAGGGGTCACTTAAAAGATCTCCAAAATCCTGAATAAACACAAGATCCAGGTCCGATTCAACACAGTACATAAAATCCGTGATCTGGTTCCATCTGTAAAAGATGCTGTTCCAGACATACAGTACCCGGGCGTTTACAAACTAAAGTGCCTCTGCGGTAGTAGCTACATTGGAGAAACCAAACGACATATCTCGGACCGCATCCGCGAACATAAAGCAGACTTGAAACACGGTAGAACGAACTCCTCTGCCGTGGCAGATCACTGTTATAATTCAGTGGGCTCACATGACATTGACTTCTCCAAGACGGAGGTTCTTTGCAAACCAACCGGCTACCATGAGAGATACGTTCATGAGGCCATTCACATATACAAGCACAGAGACAATTTCAACCGAGAAGATGGATTCTGGCTTAGTAACCATTGGAAAGATGTTTTAAACCATTTCCGTTCTTAATTAATTGTATTTTACGATGACCTTCAGACCGCAGCTCTTTCGCTGGCATTGACTCTTAATACCTCTCACACCATGGTTAATGGTATGGTTTACAACATGGAGTATAACAGCGCCTCGCAGCTGTCTTTCTCCCCCTCCTCCGTTCCGACCATGGATGAACTCGTCCGTCTGAACGGGGCTCGTAGCTATCCGTGGTACTAAAGTTGAGGATAAGAATCCACCCATTTTTTCGCCATATAGCATTGTGATATATAACGACTTATTGTTGGTAGCTTAGCTGATTGGAGAATATATAGAGTGTATTGATAACATTGAGGTAATTTATATTTTAGTTTTTTATTGGTTTACTATATAGTATTCATTATATAGTGTAGTGTATATCCAGTTACTGTTAATAGCTCAGATGTGTAGGCTTTGACTTTAACATAGCCATTTCTGTGACCAGTCACAAGCTAATCACTCAGCTATTTCAATGCTAAATTCTATGATAATTCCTTTGTCAAGGCGCTCTGTTTCTTCTCACACAGCTTAAAGGTCGCGATCTGAGCTTGGCTTTGTTCGCTCCAGCGCTGTCCTCCAGACAGTCTCGTCCCTTCACCTGATGAAGGCCGCTTGTGTTGTGGTCGAAACGTCGTGAGAATTTTGTTGTGTTATTTTATTTGATCAATTTATTATTTTATTCTCATTCTACGTGACTTTACCGAAAGAACCAAAGAAGATGAATCCTTGCAGTCACGAAAGCTTTAAATCGAAATCTACTACATCAAAAAATCTGGGTTCCGAAAAAAATACAACACCACATCTGCTGCATTAAACTCTCTGAATCACATTTATATTAGCCTTGATAATAAGCAGTACTGTGCCTGTCTTTTTCTAGATCTGTCCAAAGCTTTAGATACAATAGATCACATCACCCTGCTTAGTAAACAAAGTTGCCTCGGTTTTTCCGAAAATGCAGTAAAATGGTTACAAAATTACCTCTTTTCTCGCACCCAAACTGTATTCACAGATGGTTGGAGGTCAAACAGTGCTAAGATAACAAAAGGGGTTCCACAGGGTTCCATCCTTGTCCCCTTTTTGTTCTCTCTTTATTTAAATGACTTGGGCACTGACCTGGATCATTCCAGGGCAAATCTTTTTTGCAGATGACACGATACTGATTACTGCTGGCTGCTCTCCGGATGACGTGATTGCTAAGCTACAGGGTGATTTCAACAAACTACAACATCAGCTAGTTGCTCTTAAACTAGTCCTGAATACCTCCAAAACCAAGGTGCTATGCTTCTCACCAGGACTAAATTAGGAAGTTATTTTTCCCCAATTACATTCCTTAAATAATGATCAAATAGAGCAAGTCAAGATCTATAAGTATCTTGGGGTCATCCTGGATTCAAAACTGAATTTTGAAGATCACATTGATTATATTGGTAAAAAGACAAAAAAAATGTTTTTCTGTATCGACACAAGCACTGCTTCCCCCCCAATGTTACGTTTGGAATTGATAAAAGCTACCATACTGCCTCTACTTGACTACTTTGACATCGCGTATAAATCAGCCCCAGGTACTGTACTGAAGAAGCTTGAATCCATCTATCACTTGGCCTTAAGATTTACATTGAACTGCCCATAT